ATGTTGAATTTGAACAAGTATTGGAGGCGTGGACTCCTAGTGATGCTGAACTTGAAGTTGCAAAACATTTCGAGGCACAACGAGAAGAACCTGCTTATGATTGCTCATATGATGCTGATCTTCATCGTCAGAAAATTAGAAGATTAGAATGAGAATGAATAAGCATCTACATATTTTGAAAGGTTTCTTCCTGGTTTTCCCGAATTCTTGTGTTGTATAAGAGACTAATATGGCAGCCATATACTACAGAGAGAAACAAGAAGAGTTAGGGAGGCGTTTGTTGAGTTGTTTTATACCATGTACTTCTTCCTCCGATCCTAGTGATCTTCTGCAGCAACAAGTGGATGTAGCTCTCACATTGAGAGTGAACCATATAAATTCTGTTTTTTGTATTCTTTTTTCCATCTTGTTTTCAGCTTTTTGTTAATTGCAGAAATTTGGACATTTTAATTCCTAGTATGGTTCATGTACAATTAGACACATAAAAAAAAAAAAGAAGAAAAAAACCCATATGTCATAGCAACATAGCAGAAGGTTAAATAGTTCTGTACTTCTAACTTTTTTAAGAGTCCAATTCGATGAGGAAGTAATTCAAAATACCAGAGGTAGAAAAACATATATTATTATCAAATTAACATCATAACATTCTACTCTTGATGAACAAATCGTTTCACTAATCATTTGATTACAATTCTATTATTGAGATTCTAAAACACAATTCTATAAGATGTAATTTCACAACTGGAATCCCATTTTCAAAGATTTTTACTCGATACATTTCAGATCAGGAAACTAGATTCTGATTTTTCTTTCTCTACACCAAGATGATATTTCAAATTAATGCTATTGCAGATTTTGAAATACCAGTATATATATATATCTACATACGCATATATATATATATATACACACACACACACACACACACACACACATATATATATACACTTTTTGTTTGAGAAACCAAATATATAATTGTTGCGCATAGAGTGATTTATGTGAACAGTGAAAATTAGGGTCATGTTTTGTTACTTAACTGCATTTTCCAAGTGAAGTGAATTGTATATATAATACAGAGATTACAATTCATCAGGGACTTATCTAGAAAGAATACATATAACCGGATGTGAAGGAAAGAGTAATCGTCATAAATGACAGAATGAACAAGACTTGTTTAATCCTTCATTACAAACTTTATCTATCACCATCTCTTGTTGGAACATGCTGTTATAGCCTTTTTATGAAAAATATAGATCCTCGGTTTGGAAGTACATATTATAACATCTAGAAACCGTCCGCCAAAGCACTATAGAGTTATATCAACATCTACAAATTACAAGGTAAAAGAAAAAAAAACCTTTACGATGCCCGAGCATATCAACCGCGGTCCATTACTAGATACCAAAACCATATGAAGATAAGGACGAAGCGATGTCTTTAGGCTTCATTCATTTCACCATTCGAATTACAATCAAACTTTTTGCTACAGTACTTTTTCTAACAAAAAATTAAATTCAACTTTTTCTATTACAGTTTAATTTCTCTTACATAAATTCACTTTTCAACTCAAATTCTCAATTCGAACGAGCGAAACGGACGGGGCCTTAGCAGCTTAGCTTTTACGCATTCGCCAGGAGGTGGTAATGCTATATTTTGACAGCAAGCACAGACTTGGTGGACAAAGGAAGCTTTGGTTTTGTCTCCCAGTGGGAAGAGCCAGGCTGAGAATAATAATATTGCTGTTAAGGATTTGGAGCCTTTGATTTGGTGGATCACAATTTCAAGGGAAATTAAATACATGATGGTATTGGAATTGTACAGTTTCTTAGAGGGAAAAGCGCTTTTGCAAGTACTGGTGCAACTGGGTTTCTAGCGAAAGGTACACATTTCATTTCTATTGATCACACATTTATATGTATTTTATATTGAAAAAAATCTGAGGGTCTTTTTATTTTTTTCGTATTTGAAATATGTGCAATTCTTATAGAAAAGATACAAAATGAATTATGTTCCCGTTTCTCTTTTCTTGCCTTCTTTTTTTTTTTTTAAATTTATTTACCTATTATCTGGAGTGTTGTGTTTATGAAGGTTCGTTTGTTTGATATATATATATATATATATTGTGTTAATCGTTGATGTACTTAAGATAATAAACACATAACTTTTCAAGCGTCTCCAGAGAACTTATGGAAAATCTTATCAAGCTTTCATGTTGAGAAAAATAGTCCCTATGGTGCGAAATATCTGCGAATCTGATATTGGACTCGACGACGACGAGTTAGCCGAAAAAAATGTGAGAGATGTTGGCATCGTTGTAAATTTTGCGGCCAACACAGTATTTTCAATTTCTTCCTCGGGACTAACTTAAAATGCAATAGAGATTTCTTATTATATCAACCGAATCTAATTCTTATTTATTTATTTTTTCAGATATAATGTTGCTCAGAGCATAGACTCAAAAGGGCCTTGTCTCCTTATGGACTTTTCAAAGAATTGTAAGAAGCCGAAGCTCTCCCTCGAGATATCAACTGGTAAGTTGAAAAGAAATGGCAAATATTAGAAGACTTTAATGTATTGGTAGTTCTCCAAAAATAATGACAAATTATTATATGGGTTGTCTTCTCATACACAGCTTAGGTAAATGGACAAAGACAAGGAAGAATAATGGAGAAGCCATCTACTTGTCATTTTTTATGATGCCGTATGTTGATCTTGTTGTCGTTTTATTGCTGATATCCATCTGTGCTTTGTCCTTTTCCATACGATCGATGCTCTTTTCTCGTTGAGTTAATTGACATTTTCACATCAAGAAAATTGATCTTGCTACCAAAAATTTTACTACCAAAATTATTTGGGTAGCAAAAATACTATTAGAGACCAAAATTTAATAGAAGAATTTTGATACGTTTCTACTACTAAATTTGGTAGTAAAAAGTCACGATTTTGCAATCAAAATTTTTTTAACGGTGGAAGACATGGCGCCAAACTAAAATAGCTTACCACCAAAGCTTTTTTGCTACAAAAAATGTACCAAATAGGTATGTTTCGCTACCAGAATTTTAGTCTCAAAAATATATGTTCAGCTACTAAAAATCTTTTAGTAATAGAAAACATGGCGCCAAATGAAAATGACTTGGCACCAAAACCTTTTAGCTACCAAAAAAAAAAAAAGGTCGTAAACTAGTATGTTTCGGCTACTAAAAGTTTGGTATCAAAAACACATTTTAGAAATCATTTGGTAGCCGAATATATGACACCAGATCAAATTGATTTCGCGCGGCCAAGGCCTTTTGCTATCAAATTATTTTTAGTAGCAAGAAAGTAAGCTCCCGTTTGTTTCATTGATTTAGCTCTATTCAACTCAATTTGAACAATGAGCACAATTTAAATTCGTGTTTGGTAAGCACGCAGTTCGAATTATATTTTTTATTTGAACTGAGTTAAATTGTCTAACTTAGAGTTTAACTCCCTCTTTAAGTTTGACCGTTCAAACTATTTTTAACAGTAAAAAAGTACACACTCTCTCTGCTTTTCACACATACCAAACACAAATTTGAATTTTATTCCTTGTTAAGATTAAAATTTTAAATGCATGTCTAAACGTCAATTCGAACTATAATTAAACCGCATAGTTCAAACAAAAAACTTCAAACTAACAAAATTCAAACCAACGAATCAAATGGGGGCTAAGTTTCTACAACTATGGGATTGGTCTCAAAATAATATTTTCAGAGACCAAAACAATTGGGCAGCTAATGATAACATATTGCTACCAAATGATGGTAGCAAAGTGTATTTAAAGCGTATCTTTTCGATATATAAAAATTTATTTATATTTTATTGTTCGTGACATGAATAAACGATTATGAACTATATATTTGAGATTAATCATTTTTTTTTCAAATATACGATAATATGAAGGGGATGGTTTTCAAGCATATCTCACATAATAAAGACAATAATAAAATTTATTCTTTTTAAAGAAAATAGTATCTAGTATTCAAAATAGTATAGTCAATTTTCGACTATCAAAAATATTTTTTGTAGCTAAATATGATGTTTTGCTACCAAAATTTGGTAGCCGAATAAGACCTTTTTCTACTAAATTGTTGATTTGGTAGCGAAAAATAGTTTTCTGGTACCAAATAACATATTTGATAGCAAAAAATCTTTAAAGTGTAGTTTTCAGTATGTCCTTATATTTTTTTATTTTATTTTTCACATCATGAATAAGTGAAAATAACTTATTTAATATTACCAAATAATATTATGTCAAGTTCATTTACGTTTTGTTAAGTAGTATACTTATATTTTGTAAACAAATTAGTACATATGTGTCTATGATGCATATATGAAGTAATCGTGTGTGTACACACACACATATATATATGAGATTAAAAATAACTCATTTTTTAAGATATATAATAATATAAAAGAGATGGTTTTCAAGCATACCTCTCACAATTAAGATAGTGAATATATATATATATATAGTTTTTATTCGTCTTTATTTACATGCAGGGAAAATGAAGCCAGATGATGGCATTTTGTAAAGTTTATTAAAAGAATGGTCTTCTTTTTTGCTCAGCTTCTAAAAGATTTATGAACGAAAAAGTTAGACACGCATAATAAATAGAGGGCAGCGATTCATGTCGTATTTGACCGATCTATATATCGCTTTAAGGATAAAATAGGAATCACACAGCATCAAAAACAGAAAATGTAATGGGAATTTTTAAATTGATGGTTCAATATGGATCAAATCGTGTAAATCCTCCAAATGAAAATGGTCGATCATCTCATGGCAACACCTTTTCAATATATTGTCAAGGAATTCTAAAGTGCATGTATTGAATGACTTTTATTTGTATTCATAAGCATTGAACGTATACATGATATTTGATCACGAGAAGATTGTTATTTAGAATAAATGAAAGAAGAAAGCTAATAACAATGTTTACAATTTAACCAAACTGCAAGGATCTGTAATCACAACAGTACTAATTCGCGAGAAGAGATGGAATGCTTTGTTCGTTTGTAAAGAAATTAGTTGGATCAACTATTGTCTTTACATAAACCAACTTGTAGAAATTATTATTGAAATACTTGGTACCCCAAATCCTCGCTCGTTCAACATTATTATAAGCACTTGTGGTGTCGTCCTTATTGTTATTTACCCCGATGTCAAGGTCTCTAAAGTTGAGATATGTAGCTCGCGGATTTTTTGACACATAACGAGTCATGTAATGGTAAAACCTTCTTACCCATTTTATATGCTTGTTAGATGAGGTAATATTTCCACCACTTTCCCAATTCACCAAGTAATGAATGTTGTAGAGGTTTCCAGCTCGGTATGGGAATGGGATTGCTGATTCTGAAATCTCGTTCATTTTCCCTCCGAAAGGAAATAGATCAATCATAACTCTACCTACCTCTTCTTCGTACAACCTTCCCAACAATCCTTCGAACGCATCATCTGCAATAGGCTCCTTTACAAAGTCAGATTTTGCTTTGAATGACGCCATCTTGTAATTAGATTTCCTATTAAGTAGAACGTCCAAGGATTCTCCATTTCTGAAAAAATTGTGATAGAGAAAAGATTCGACCCATCTCATCTCAGTGCACTCTTTTCTTAACAAACCCAATTCAGGAAACTCCTTTTGCATCAATTCGAGGAGCCTATCCACGCCGCCATGGAATGTGGCGCGAAAGGAAGCTGTTAGCACAGTTTTCTTATTGCCTTCGTTATCAATAGAACTCTCAGTTTGAAACCTTACATAAATTGATAGATACTCATCGACTTTGTCAGCACGGCGTTGCCATCGATGAAAAACCTTCTTCGTTGCATCGTCCTCCATGCTCCTCTTTACATCAAACACAGTCACTGTCGACGGCACGTAAACTAGTCGAAGTTTCCATGCAAGAACGATTCCAAAGCTTGCTGGTCCACCACTACGTATGGCCCAAAACAAATCTTCACCCATAGATTTCCTATTAAGAATTCTTCCTTTAACATCGATTAATTCTGCGTCAAGAACATTATCTGCTGCAAGCCCATATTTACGTGTCAAATAGCCGTAGCCTCCTCCACCGATTTGTCCTCCAATACCCACAGTGTGGCAATCACCGGCAGGAAAGGCAAGATTTTCACTTCTTTCAGCAATCCTATAATAAAGTTCACCAAGCGTAGCTCCAGCTTGAACCCATGCAGATTTGTTTTCCACATCTACGCTGATCGAACTTAGATTTCTCAAGTCAATGACAACAAATTGGACATTTGACACATAAGAAAGACCCTCATAATCATGGCCACCACTTCGGGTTCTGATTTGAATATCATGTTTCTTAGAACAACGAATAGTGGCTTGGATGTGGGAGGCATGAGATGGAGTGATGATAACAAATGGTTTTTTGGTCGAAGAAGAAGAAAAACGATAATTTTGTATGGATGAATTCAACACAATGAAATACGACGGCTCATCTGGAGTGTAGATAATGGGTTGAGAAATGGAGGAGTTGGACTTGGATATACGAGTGGTCAGGCAACGAAGAAAGCCTTCATGATCGTGATGAGCTGAAGCTGCCAATAGGAATGAAAGAAGAAAGATGATAATTTTGGCAAACAATGAAGAGAAGGTAATATTGTACTTCATTTTTATTGACCAGTTTTTGTTTTGGGCATAATATGAGAGTAAAGGATACTAATTGCCCCTTTTATATAGCCGAGAAATGCCAGCTGGTTGATTATAAAATTGCTGCTACTTTTCTATTGAATATTAAAAATATTGCCCATCAAGCAGAACTTCATTATGAGATTAGCAACTTGCATGTGCTAATACTGAATATAAAAAGAAACGCTGACCAAATATTTTTTATGCAAAGTATTAATTATTAATACATGTGAGAATTCTTCAAGGTCGTTTCTTCATATTGAAAACCATGTTAAGAACATATTGAAGGAACATAAAATTCTAGAGAAACATGATGCACACGGATAGGATAAAGAATTACAAACATATAAACTTGTTTGTCGCAGGGGCTTATTTTTTATTTTTTATGTTTTGGAATGGAGTCGGCCGGGTTTTTTCTCTCGCTCATAATTTTATTTACGTATTTTTTATGCTTAAAAGATAGAAAGAATATTTTACAATTTCATAAAATAAAACAATAAAAACCATACGGTACCATTTTTTTTTCTCATCCCTTGTATATAAAAAAATATATATATATTTTTCTCCTTCGCAAAAAGAAAAAATAATTATAAAAAATATGTGACAGCACGCTAATGATTCTGTCCATGTGTTTAACAGAAGTGATCAAAAGGACCAAAAGTGGAACACATTTTTATATTTATCGGCCACTTGTCAAGGTTTATTTATTTATTTATTTATTTATTTATTTATTTATTTTTGAGAATTCAATTGTCGACGTTTTAAGTTTAAAGATTAAATTGTCAAACAAGAAAAGTCATAGGGGTATTCATGGAAAAGAAAAGCAAAAAATTTATTTGATAGTAACTATGTTTTCTCTGTTAATTATTTGCACGACGCAAAAGACGCTCTTATCATTATAATTTGTTTGTTTGTTTGTTTTTGTTTTTATTTTTTATTTTTGAAAGTATGTGTTTGTTTTTCCCGATAATGACACAATATTATCATAAAAGGTTTTATCATTTAAATAAATGATGATACACTGGTATTGAATTATCATGCTAAAAGTAATATGGAATTTACTATTTTTATATTTAATAGTAATTACATATAACAAGTTTCGTACACGGTATGAATATGTATCATTAGGAAAAACAAACAACATCATAGAAACTAGTAATAAAGTTTCAAAAAAAAAATGTACTAATGGCTTTTTAATATATTTTATGTGTTAAAAATATTCTTTATAATACAAAAAAACATTAATTTCAAATGGATTAAGATGTCCTGATACAACATATTTTTAAAAGTTAAATTCATAGATAGTGTCTGAACTTTTTTCTCTTTCTAGAAGTCAATTTCGTCTCACAAATAGTCCATAAACTTAATAAGTGTCTCATAAATAGTCCCTCTGTTAGATTTTAGATAGAAACCGTTAATTTTGTTTCATAAAATATCCATGAACAATCTTTTTTCCTCTAAAAATATAGTAAAAGTAGTACTAAATTTAATCCCTAAACTTAAAAAATGACAAAATTAATTGATTTGTTAATAAAGAGATGTAAAGAAAAAAAAATCAAATATGAGAAGTTGTACTAAACATAGTTCCTAAACTAAAACAAAAAAGTGATTCTATAAACACCCGTTAAATTTTTAAAAAACCTGACATAACACTAATAATTTTTATTTTTTATTATAGTAAAAAACAATGTTATAAAATAACTGGGAAATACACTTTGTTATATTATGGATTATGGTTTGCAATTAATTTCTTTTACTCTCTTTTTAAGGAACTTTTTTCCTTAATTTTGTGTTGAAAGATTCTAACTTATGAGTAAGATATGTATGAGTATTATGTTCTTAGTTGAATTTTAAATTTGTTGGGTTTTTAACATTTTGTTTTGTTTTAAATTAAATTTGTTCGTAATTTTATTTTTTGACAGAAATATTTTTCTTATAAGAACATAAAAAAAATTAAAGTGACAGATTGGGTGATTAAAGGGTTAAAAAACTTATAATACAAATATTATTAGATAATAATAATATGAGAACATTTATTGACATGATCGGGTAAATATATTCACTCAAAAAATTATCAAAGTTACATATATAAATAAATAGATGAAAAAAGTTAAATATGTGTAGCAAAATACTAATTTTGGTAATTTTTTATTTTTAAGAACTACATTTAGTATAACTTCTCGCATTTTTTTATCTATTAATATAATAAATGAACTAATTTTGATATACTTTTTTTTTAGTTTCGGAATTCAGTACAACTTTTAATATTTGGATTATTTTTAAAGAGATCAAGATAGTTTAGGGACTTTTAACGAGGTAAAATTAACGGTTTTCATCTAAATTTTAAGAGAGAGACTATTTATAAGACACTTTTTAAGTTAAGAAACTATTTATGATATAAAATTGACTATATGAACAAATCCTAAAAAGAAAAAAAAAAGTTCAAGACTAATCTTATAGGAAAAATTTTATTTTGGTACCATCTGTTATATTAAAATTTGAGTTTGGTACCCTTTGTTTTTAAAACTTTCACGTCAGTACCTCGACCTTTTAGAAAATCTTTTTTTAGTACCTCGAAGCCACTTTTTGAGATACGAAAAGATAAAATCACCCTTATTGTAAAAATTCATTTGTTGATTATAATTTTGAAGAAAGAAAAAAAAATTAAAAAAGGATTTTGAAGAGAAATTTTTGAAAAATGATTATACACTACAAGTATAATAATTTTTAAAATCTTTTTTTCTTCGTTTAAAATTCTGGTCAATTGATGAATTTTTACAATAAGTACATTTTTATCTTTTTGTGTTCCAAAAAATTTCTCTGAGGTACCAAAAAAAGATTTCTATCAAGTCAAGATACCGACATGAAATTTTTAAAAATAGAGAGTATCAAACTTAAGTTTTGATTTAAAAGAGAGTACTAAAATAAAATTTTCTCTACATAAAAGTATGTTTGGTAGGAAAGAAAAGTAGAAGGAAGGAAGAAGGTGGAGAGATTTTGAGAGAGAAAATAGAAATGTAGGTTGTTTGGTAGGAGAGAAAAGAGAAAGGAAGAGAAAATAGAGTGAAAAATAATACATGTGGGTCCCACCATTTTTCTTCTTTCTACAAGTGGCCAGAAAATGGGAACAACTAATTAAAGTGAGCAAAGTTACTAAACTATCATTTTCTCCATCAACATCCAAACAAAAACTTTAAGGGTATAAAAGTAATTTACGAGTAAATTTTTTTCTTTCCTCTCAATTTAACTTTCAATACCAAACAAGTGAAGGTAAACTAATTTTTTTTCTATCTTCTCATACCAAACAGCATAAAAGAAAATCAATTTCTTTTCCATTATTACTATTTTTCATCACTTCCATTTTTTCTTTCTATCATATTTTCTTTCTTTCCTACCAAACATAGAAAAAATGTACGTAAAATGTATGTTCAAGTTACGCGGTGATTGACTTTTAGATATTTCGACTATGAGTATAACATAATAAAATATTAGTTGACCTTGCAAATATATGACATGGTATACGAGTTAACGCGCTGGAGTTGGTGATTGACATTTAGGAAGGAATATTCTTATCTGTGTTTAATATTCTTAGTGTATTAAATATGTGTAGCAAAATACAAAGTTTGGTAATTTTTTTATTTAAAGAACTACATTTAATATAACTTCTCGCATGTTTTCTATCTATTCATTTAATAAATGAACTAATTTTGATATACTTTTTTTAGTTTAGGCATTTAGTACAACTTTTAATATTTGGATTATTTTTAAAGAGAAAAGATAGTTTAAGGACTTTTTAAAGAGATAAAATTAACAGTTTCCATCTAAAATTTAAGAGAGATACTATTTATGAGACACTTTTTGAGTTAAAGAACTATTTATGAGATAAAATTGACTATAACAACTAATCCTAAAAAGAGAAAAAAGTTGAGGACTAATCATATAGGAAAATTTTCATTTTGGTACCTTCTGTTATATCAAAATTTGAGTTTTGTACCCTTTATTTTTGAAAATTTTATGTCGGTACTTCGACTTTTTAAAAAATTATTTTTAATACCTCAAAGCCATTTTTTGGGACACGAAAAGACAAAATCACCCTTATTGTAAAAATTCATCTGTTGATTATAATTTTAAAGAAAGAAAAAGAAAGATTTTAAAAAAGTATTTTGAAGAGAAATTTTTGAAAAATGATTATACTCTACAAGTATAACAATTTTTAAAATCTTTTTTTTCCCTTTAAAATTTTGATCAATTGATGAATTTTTACATTAAGAGTAATTTTATCTTTTTATCTCCCAAAAAATTTTCTGAAGTACCAAAAAAAGATTTCTATAAAGTCAAGGTACTGACATAAAATTTTTAAAAATAGAGAATATCAAACTCAAGTTTCAATTAACAGAGGTACTAAAATGAAATTTTCTCTACATAAAATGTATGTTTAAGTTACGCGGTGATTGACTTTTAGGAATTACTATAACATAATAAAATATTAGTTGTCCTTCAAAGTCAATCATTTTCGTGTGGTTATCGTCGATGGAGTTGGGGATTGACATTTAGGAATGAACATTCTTATCTGTGTTTAATATTCTTAGTGTATCCTGTGGAGATCGTTTTGATTTATTTATACATTTATTTTTGTTGCTGAATCATTTTCGTGTGGTTATCGTCGAGTACACTTTGATTTGTTCAACTATTTTCCTTTAGGGATGTTCTATCCACGTCTTTTTTTTTTTTTTTTCCTTTTTTTAATCTTGCTTGTATTGTTATCGTTTCCCATTAAAATACTTTGTCAATTAAATATTTCTCTAAGCACCTCATTTTGGACTTTTCTTACATTGATAAATATTTCAACTTGTGAATCTCTACTCTTGATTATACACATCTGTAAGATGCAATTTCGTTTCGTCAACATCTTTTTTTTTATTACTTTTTTTATTGTTTACTGATGTTTTAATAGGAATCACGCAACATTAACTATGGAAAAATGTAATGGGATGTT